GGTATATAAGGCCTTCCCCATTATTAAATAAATGAATTCGTTATTTGCCTTCAACTGACTCCCAATGTCTGTGCCGTTGATACCAAGTCTTCTCACTCCCTCCCCTGGGGGAGCCGTTAGGATCCAGCAACATGTATGTTCTTCAACTCATTCAGAAATAGGTTGTGATGATAGGTAGGGGTTTGAATTCTGGCTAGCCTGTTTACTATGGAATCATGGTGTTACTTCAATTCTCGGGGACTTTTTTTTATTCCAGTAAAATGGTGATGGTGATGGTACTAGGGACCAAATGATAAAGATGGATCAGGAGAAATATCTAGTATGATGCTGATGGGCAGCAGGCAGTCACTTTCCTTTCTTCCTATAAAGATGGTTATTGGTGTCTGGTTTCCATAACAACTCCATGTTTATGCAGGAGACATAGTCTCTTTGAGTGTACCTCATGTTACACAGCGATTCTTAACTCCACGATGCATAGAAGCACGGTTGAAAGCATCCCACATCTCTCAGCTCCTTGCTGAGAATCACAGTACTGTAGCTGTGATGCCCTCAAGCATCTCTGACTAGCTGAAAGCTTTGTGATGTCCTGTCATTCATTCTCATCAGTCGATTTCAGCGAAGAGAAACGATGTCTGAGGGAGTGCGGTACACTAAGCTATAAGAAAACAGTGTTCAAAAGCCTTCTCATGTGTAGCTGGGACTCGGGAGTATCTTTTGGGGCCCTGGGTAAGGGGATAATGGAAAGAACAGTGGAAAGACAGAGTAGGCAGGGCCTAGAGGACAGTTGATTGGGAAAGTGTTTTAAGAGGGAAGGTAGGAGAAGCTGGACACAGTTGTCATGTCTCATAGAGCCTTATTTAGCAGGATGTGACTGGGTCCCCTGGGAGCACATGCGTCTCTCACTAGAAACTGCTGTCCTGTCCTTTTGCTCCAACCCTGACACATGTTCAGTTTCACCTACCCAAGGGTCCTGGCTCCTCCCACTGGGGTCATATATGGCTACCTGAACTATCTCATTGGTCATATTAAATACCATAAAGCTCTAGAAAATTCTCTGCCAAAAATGAAATAATTCTCCCTACACTGTAGATGTGGATGGTTACAAAGGAAGCTGGATAATTGCCCATATAAAAGACCAGAGAGAAAAGACATGGTCTTGGTGTGACTTGGGTAGCTACAGACTAGATTCATTGAGTAGCACTTTTCTCTTGTTCAGAGGAAATTGTAGAGGACCAAAGTGTCCATGAAATGATCATGTTTAGAGTTGTGAGTAAAGGACATTGTAATTGAAAAAACTAAGAATGTTTAGACTAGGCAATCAGATTTAAACTGAAATGATCAAGCTGATGGTCAAAGTCAAGATTTATACTTTTTATTATATCATATTAATTAATTTGTGTGTGCGTATGCCAATGTGAGCAAGCCTGTGAAGGCTCAAAGAGGATGTCAGATGCTCTGGAGCTGGAGTTACAGGCATCTGGAACCAAACTCTGGTCTTCTGTAAGAGCAACGAGTTCTCTGAACCTCAGGGTTATCTCTCCAGGCCCCCAGAATTATGATTTTGAAACAGTCAGACAGAGGGCTGGTGAGATGGCCCAGTGGGTAAAGGTACAAGCCTCCGAGCCTCGTGACTTAAGTTTGATCCCTGGAACCCACATGGTGGAGAAAACTCATGCCCATGAATTGTCCTCTGACCTCTGTGCGTTAGTAGCACATATGCTTTTCCCAACCCCAGAAAACAGATAAGTGTAAAAGAAAAAAATTTTTTTAAAGAAACAACCAGGCATTCACATCATCTGGAGCAGTGATGCCTTCCAGTAGACAGGACTCCTGGAGTAACAGCTACAGACCCCCCTTTCCAGGCTGTGACCCAACTGCTGTGTTCCAGCGTCTAAATGTTAGCAAGCCTTCCCAGGGAATGTTGGCCTGACCCTATCTATGCCACAACCTCTCTCCAAAGGCTGTCTGGGTCCCTGTGCTTATTTTATCACCTTGGTCAGGGGAACTCAAGTGCACAAGATGAGAAGAAGAGATGCTATTTTTATGCTAAATTATACAGACCAACTAAAGAAGAGGGTAAGATGACCATGTGTCACACTGCTCTGAATCATGAGGAAAGAATTTTTGCTGGTCCTTGAGCATAGGTGAAATTTAAAGATGGAAGAAGAACAGTCTGTTTATCTCTAATGATGACTTCTACATTGAAACTTATGGGAATGATTCAGCAAAAGCAGTTCAGGCACAAAATAAGACAGCCTGAATTAGCTCATCTCATGCTCTTGTGCGTGGTTAGGGGACTGTGGGAATTACAGGTATCATCGGTAGAACCCCAGCGAAGGCCTTATTATGCAAAGGCCTTATTACAGTCCGCACATATTTCTGGCCCCTATTTATGCACAGATTTCAGTCATTACACACTTAAAGTAAGTCTTCTTGCAACCTCAGAGTGGTTGCTAGTTCACATTATTGATCATCCCTTTGCCACTGTAACAAAATCATTTTTGACATAAACATTTTAAGAAGAGGAAAGATTTGTTTTGACTCATCATTTCAGACAGTTCAGTCCATGGTCACTTAGTCTTGTTGTCTTAACAGTTAATTAGTCAATTTGTTTGTATGTGTGTGGGAGTACCTGAGCATGTTCCAAAGTATGTGTATGGAGGTCGAAAGACAACTTGCTACTTGTCCTTCTACCATGTGGGTCCCAGGGATTGAACTCAGATTCCTGGGTTTACCAGAAGTCTCTTTACCACTAAGCCATCTGGGTGGCCCAAGATCAGTGATTTGTTTTTAAGTATTATTTTTTGTGGACATTTTGCCTGCATGTATGTCTATGCACTGAATGTGGGCCCAGTGCACACAGAGACCAGAAGAAGTCATCAGACCCCCTGGGACTGAGTTACCACCCTGTGGGTGCTAGGAATTAAATCCAGGTCCTCTGGAAGAGCAGCCAGTGCTCATAACTGCTGAGCCATCTCTCTAGCTCCAGGCCCTATTGAGCCTATGACTGGTCAAACATCACAGCTGGCCTCACAGCAGAATGCAGAGACGGCAAGACAGGAAGGACCGAGGGGTAGAATATACCCTATAAGGGCAGGCTCCCCAGGATCTACCTCCTCCAACAGGCCCTAGCTCCTAATATCCCATTCATTACTAGCACATCAATAGATGAGCTCATGATAGAGTTAGCCTCCTCAGGGTCTAATCACCACTCAGTAGTGCTACCCGCTGGGGACCACACCTTCTACATATGAGCCTTTGAGGCCATTTGATTTCCAAACTTAACCCTCATGATTCACTTTGAAGGTAGAATTGTTTACTCATTTAAATGTGTTTGACTTTAACAACACTTGGGTCTGAACAGTTATAGGTGTTTGTGGTCTATACCGTATTCTGGTTTGCGGTATACGTATCTATTGTCTACTGCATCTGCATGTGCATGTGGACAAGACCAAAGGGGTGTTTATACTTCCACAATTTGGTTCACCTTTGGCCTCTGTTTCTGAAATATAAGCAAAGGTCCATGTGCTTTGGAGCCAGTAGAGGCAGGGAAGCCTTAGGAGGTAGGACCAAGAGAGGAATTCAGGCCCTTGGAAGTGTGACCTTGAAGAGTCACTTGCCTGTGCCTCTCTCTGCTTCACAGTCATCATGAGATGAGTTGCTTTGCTTCACTGTGTGCTCCCTGCAACAAACTCATATCCCCACAGGCCCAAAACAATGGTGCCAACTAGCCATGTACCAAGTCCCCTCAAATTGAACACGATGTATCCTTCCTCCTCTGACTCCCCTTCATTCTTTAGTCACAGTGACAGAAAGCCCTTTCCTACATAAGGTATGCTGGGACCCAGCTGGGAATTCAAAAAGGAAGCAGGTCTAAGAGTCCCTTGGAAATTTGCCCTCCATAGATATTATTTTTCCACCAGTGACCAGTAGAAAGTATGTAACCTGAGGCTGGCTGGTGACCTGAACTTTACTGTAGGCCCCTGGATCTTTATATGAATAATGAAGAGGCTAGAAAAGATGATTTTGGGGTTCTTCCAGATCTAAAACTCAATAGTAAGAGTTGTCTTGCTTGGAATAGTGGTGCACACCTTTAATCCCAGCAGAGGAAAGCAGATCTCTGAATTTGAGGCCAGCCTGGTCTATACAGTAAGTTCCAGGAGAGCCAGAGCTATAGAGAGAGACCCCTATCTCAAGAAAAAGGAGTTGTGCTGTGGGATGTTCTGTATGGCAAATGTGTTGCTGATTGGTCAATAAATATATCACTGATTGGCCAGTGGCCAGGCAGGAAGTATAGGCGGGACAAGGAGAAGAATAAAGCTGGGAAGTGGAAGGCTGAGTCAGAGACACTGCCAGCCGCCATGATGAGAAACAGCATGTGAAGATGCCGGTAAGTCACGAGCCATGTGGCAAGGTATAGATTAATGGAAATGGATTAATTTAAGCTGCAAGAACAGTTAGCAAGAAGCCTGCCACGGCCATATAGTTTGTAACCAATATAAGTCTCTGTGTTTACTTGGTTGGGTCTGAGCGGCTGTGGTACTGGCAGGTGATAGAGATTTGTCCTGACTGTGGGCCAGGCAGGAAAACTCTAGCAACAGAGTTGTCTTTTGTGACACTAGTGCAGTTGGTGTGTGTGTGTGTGTGTGTGTGTGTGTGTGTGTGTGTGTGTGTGTGTGTGTGCCCCTGAATTTATCTATCTCAAATCAAGAGCCATGACTGTTTTCCCTGATAGAAACAGGTTAGGCTGGTACAAGCCTGTAGGAATTTCCTTAAGTAACTTACCCAGACACTTAGCCCATACAGATCCCCATCCTTTCCCATTTAACCAACTAACATTTATGGAAGGCCTGTTATCTGTGGGAGGTGTTAATCTTTAGAACATGTCCTATGGCTTTTTCATCCATCTCTCTGTTTTCACTTTCTGTGACAGACCAGGCAGACAGCAGTGTAGGGGATGTGCATTTAATAATTCTTCTGAATGGTCTCAAAATTTCTGTAACAAAATACAGACATCGTGATTCAAAGTCCAGGGAGGCAGTGGTCAACACATGAGCGTGGGGAGGGGGTTGGCAGAACGTGTTCTGTCCATCCAAGCTTCATTCCTCGAGTCTTCATTTCAAAGGCCATTAACCCCATTTTCTTTCAGAAGTATCTGTGTGGGCTGGGGTGTAGCTCAGTGGTTTGATCTCTAGCACCCTAAAAACAAACAGAATTCCCAAAACCCAGAAGTCTCTGTGCATTTCAAGGAAGATCCGCTTTTGTTGCCTTAACTTGTGTTTTGTCCAGACACGATCATGAGATCTAAAAAGCCAGAGCCAGGCAACTTGAAATGGAAATCAGGCAGCATTTAAAGCAAACTTCCTGTGTAGCACAGAACGAAGGGAGTGGACCGCAGCAGTACAGTGAGCTGAAGGTAATCCCGGGGAGAATCTCCCACATGGCTTGCCAACTGTTCACTGAAGGATGTCACACAATGCAGAGATCTGGCTCTCTGAACAGTAGCCAGAGACAGAAGTCGACGCCCACTGTCAGAAGCAAATGGGCTTGCTTGCACTCACCTTTTTCTGGATCTTTTCTATCCAGTTCAGAATTTCCTAACCTTGATGTGGTTGGCATTTGGAGTTGGATAAAGTCTTTCTCAGTGGGACATGTCCTGTCTGTTGCAGGATGTTGAACATAATCTCTGAGCTCTTTCCTCTAGACACCAGTAACCCTGCTCTCTCTCTTCCTTTAGTTGTGGCAATTAGTCTCTCTACTTTGCCAAATGTCACATGAAAGATAAGAAGAGGGAAAATCACCCCACTTCACTCCTGGTGCTCAGAGGATGGAAGCTGAGGTCACAGCTATCCAAGCAGGATAGAAAGTAGAAACTTCAAACCTTGTGATGACATAAGGCCACACAGCAGGATGAGGAGAGTGCCTGTCCTGGGCCATTCACAAATCATCTGAGAAATAAGTTGCATTTGTTTGCTCGAGAGAGAAGTTATTCAGATTATTTGGAAAATCAGCCTCACTTAACTATTTTGTTTGCCCTGAAATTATGATCACCCTCCCTACATCTTTGGCATTTGTCAGGTAGGAGGAGAAGCCAAAGCACTTTTGAAAGCATCCTAATGAGAAGTGAATCACTGGGTCTGCCACTCAGATGCTGCCACCTCTGAGTTGTGAAGTGGTGGTTGATTAGCTGCTTCTCACAGTGTATACTATATTTAATGTTCTGAATATAAAACGAGTATATGGCGATCAAAACCATCCAGGAACTTTCAGAGCAACATTATAACCCATCCTCTCACTCCCCGGGAGCTGGTGGGTAAGGGGAGGTCCCTGAGACATGGGAAAACACCCACCCTACACATCGTAATAGCACTTTTACCACACTCTAGTTCAGTTGAATTATTGTCTAGGTCCATCTTGTTCCTATCGGAGGCATCTGTGGGTTGCTTTTGTTTTCTTTTTTTCATCTTGTTCCTGTCTGTTCACTCCAGACTTCTAGACATGAATTCATTTCCTCCCAGAAATACAAAACTAGGTCATATGTTGTGGAAAATATTTCTGTAGATTCCTGGGATTCTGAAAAGAACAGCAGTAAGACATCATGAGAGGCACTCAGCTAATGTTTCCTGAGAACCCAGAGCCCCCCTCCCCTGGCTCTGTGTGAGCATACTTCCTGTTTTGAAACAGGCTTATTCTTCTGGAGTCTATGGGCTGCTGTAGGAAGGTGATGGCTTAAATTTTATACTAAAGGAGGACCATCCAGCTATAGTCTCAGGAGAGAAGCAGGTCCTGAGAACGAATAGAAACCGAGAGATGAAGGATGGACAGGTTCCTGGGGTGAGGTTGGAAGACACTGTACTGTATGCCTCTACTCCTAGCCAGAGAGTGTGTGACCTAAAACACCATGGCCAGTAATAGTGTGTGTCTCAAATAATGATCTGTCCCTGTACTTTAGAAATCTACTGTACTTTAGAAACCAACAAAACCAAAAACCAAAATCTCCTCAAGAAAAAAATCTGTTTGGTTTAAAGTTATTCTTCCATAAGGAAAGTTACTTTCTGTAGAGAACAAAGTGGTAACTGAGTATGTATGTAACTCTATGTGTGCTATATGTGAACATCATCTTTTACGTGTATGACATGACTTTTTTAAAAAAGCTGAAAATTATTGCTCTAAGGGAATATGAGGGAGGATGGATAAACTATATTCTATAGGTCATTTTATCCAGTTGCTGCTTATTAAAAGACTCATTTATAGTGGAAGCAGGGATCAAGGGGGAAGATAGAGTTACCCTTTCCACATGTGAAGTCCCTAAGGGACAGTCCCTTGGGGGAGTCTCCTTCTGCAGAAAACCAAGGGATCAGAAGTGACGGGAGCTGGCCGGTTTCCTTACAAAGAATCCACTTTTTACACTGCACAGTCTTAAGAGCTTGGAGAACAACAGAGGGAAGAGAAGAAAATCTGACCAGATCTCTGCCTGCCTCCAGATCTTAACGATCTAGGCAAGGCATACACGTGCCTTACCTAGATAGTAGATAGAGCGTAGAATGCACCCTATACACAGCAGGTGGATGTGGGATTCAAGGGCCCCCAGGAAAGGGACCTTAAGCACTTCCCTGAAATGGATAAAGGAAGTCATGGATATGAATTGCTGCCGAATAAATTTCCCAGAAGGGGCAGGGAGGAGAGAGCAAAACCAAAAGGGGTGTGTGTGTGTGTGTGTGTGTGTGTGTGTGTGTGTGTGTGTGTGTGTGTGTGTTTTGGAGGCAGAGGGATATTTGAGAGAAAAAAGTTAGAGGACTCTTATTGCTCAGCCAAAGACGATAGCTCTGATGCAGACTCATTATTCTGTGTGAGGAAAAAGACACCAAGGTGAAATAGTGTTGGAATATTTTCATTCTGGTACCTAGTTTCCTATCACCTATAACAGGGAGAGAATTAGTCTAGGGCTGGAGAGATGGCACAGTGGTTAAGAGCTCTGGCTGCTCTTCCAGAGGATCAAGGTTTGATTCCCAGCACCCACATGGCAGCTCACAACTGGACACCAAGCATACACAGGGTACATAGACATGGCCCAAACACCCATGTACAGAAGATAAAATAAATTAGAATTAACTTGGGTATAAGCTGGTTAAAAACTGGAATGGGATCAGTCTGAGAGACAACCTGGAGGAAATGCTGTAGGTAGGGTCCATGGCAACTCACTGACGTGAAGGACAGAGGGTAGTTGGAAACCACCCCCCCACCCCCCACCCCAGATGGAGAGTCAGGCCATGTCGGAAGGCCTTAGAGTTCACGTGGGAGTGCCGACTGGAACTTCACAGCTCAGTTTTTTGCTTGTAGTAGAATACTTAGGTGGAAATGCCCTGTTAGTAATTGGAGCCAGAGAACACATCTCAGCAGGAGGCCAGCTGGTGAGTCACCTGGACCCAAGGTGGACAGGCTAGGGTGGGGTGGGAAAAAGATCCTGTACCCAGTGATTACATGCCTTTCATTATGCTTTGTAAATATCAGTGAAGTCTGGGGTAATTAGTTAGGGCTAAGAGCTCTTGCTTTGAAAAGGTATTTTTTTGCGTCCATTAGTGACTCAGCAAATGGATGTGCACGCATAGTTGAATTGTATGGAGTTGGTTTTCGTCCCTGTTACTCAGGATTCTGCTCTTGGTTAGTACTAGACACTATCAAACCTTTGCCTTTCATGGTGCTGGGAGAAAGGCCCTCCCTAACCCAGTGTATGTTTCTTCCTGTGGCTGATGACGACAGCGGTTTGACTCCCGTTTTCTACCAATTAGTGCAGGACTGGAGAAATGGCCCAGCAGTTAAGGGCACAGGCTACAACCATCCGGCACGCCCTCTGTGCTTTATCTCACCTGCTGTACCAGTAACTTGGCATGCTTCTGTGTGGCTAAGGCCCCTCATCTTAGCATCAGGTAAGTGGAGGGAGCTAGGAGTGGCCAGACGACCAAAAAGACAGAAGAAACACGTGGGGAAGGCCCTGAGTTCAGCAGCTGCAGCTGACTCCGCCTTTTGACCTCCGAATCTGTGAAAAGAGAGAAACAAAGTTCAGAGCCGCAGAGAAGACGCTGGGTGTCCCCTTCTCGTGACGAGGAAAGAACAGCTGAAAAATGGAGCAATCTGTTTCTAACAAGGGCAGTTTGGTTTTCCTCTCCCCTTTCTATGGAGCAAGGTCCATTCTGTGGTCCATTCAGTGAGGACACAGCCAAATGAGAAACTTCGCCAATGAAGGCTACTGTGTGAAAAAGCAGCGAACCAAAGGACCCAAGCCAGCGCCTCGATGCTCGACATCCTTTTCCCAATTTCATCTTCTACTGTTTTCTTCCCAGACAATCCAATTTCATGTAGCTATTCCAGTTCTGTCACTCATTAGGTGTGTAACTTCAGCAAGTAACTCAATACACATTTGCTCCAATTTCTTTCTCTACAAAGAAAGCTAAAATAAGAATGGCCCACTTCCCAGGATTATTGTACGGATTTCTGCGTGACTTAGAACGGTGCCTGGCGCATGGTCACTCAAGTGTCAGCCGCAAACACAGCAAATATAGTGGGCCCACTCAGCCTAATAGCCTTTTCTTCCACGACCCTCACTTACACATGTAGTTCTTTAGCTTAATTCTGTCTAAAGTTTCACATCTGGATTTATTGTTGTCACCAAGTATGTCAGTTAAAACATAACTATTCAGTAAATTTTTGTTTTTGGTCTTTGTTTTTTTGAGACAGGGGTTTCTTTGTATAACAGCCCTGACTGTCCTGGAACTCACTCTGTAGACCAGACTGGCCTTCTACTCACAGAGATCTGCCTGCCTCTGCCTCCCAAGTGCTGGGATTTAAAGTCATGTGCCACCACCACCACCTGTCAGTAAACATTTTTTTAGTACCTATTACTGGGTGCTATCTTTTTAGAGATTTATTTTATTTTTATGTATATATTATTTTTATATATTTATTTTTATATATATCTGCTGTGGGTATCTGCAGGTGTGAGTGCAGCTCCTGAAGGATCTAGAATTGGGTGTTGGATCCCCCAGAGCTAGAGTTGCAGGTGGTTGTGAGCTACCCCATGTGGGTGCTGGGGCTGAATTTGGGTGCCCTGTGAGAGTAGTACATGTTCCTAACCACTGAGCAATCTCTCCAGCCCCATATTGTCGGATTTCAGAGGAGTCCAATAAATAACATCCTCTCCTCAGTTTAGGGCTGAGCCAAGGAAAAGGAGGACAGAAGCAAGGCAAGCAGAAAGACCGAATAACACCTTTACTGCTTAAAAACCTAGTGATAAAGGGCGACACTTTGTAGGAAGCAGGTAGGCTGCAGCCTGGACTCTTGCCCTGGGGCAGGCAGAAGCAGAGTGTGGCAGGCTTCTGTCTTCTGGGACAGATCCTGCCCCTAAAACACTGTTGACTTTGAGAACAGAGCAGAATATGCACTTCATGGTAGTGACAGAGGAGAAAGGGAAAGGAGCCAGACTCTGTATGTCCAGCCTCTGAGGTACTTCTCTAGGGGAGAGTGTAAGAGGAAGGAAGATGGTTATACACACAGGGATCCTGCCTCATAGGATGAAATACATGGAACAGGAATGTAGCTTCCCAAGCCTACATGTGATGGGTAATACCTTCTTAATATCTCAAAGCCATTTACTTTCTGTGGTGATATTTTGAACAATTAAAATTTGCCTGAAGATCAGAGAACAGAACAAGCCACTAGATTAAACATAGAGGCCAGACAGTGGTGGCACACACCTTTAATCCTAGCACTCAGGAGGCAGAGGCAGAGATCCATCTGGATTTCTGTGAGTTCAAAGCCACACTGGGCTACATGAGATGAATCCAGTCTAAAAGAGAAACAGAGCCAGGCAGTGGTGGCACACACCTTTAATTCCAGCACTTGGGATCTCATGCCTTTAATCCCAGCACTAGTAAGGTTGAGACAGGAAGTGATATGGCTAGGCAGAGAAAGGAATATAAGGCGAGAGGAGACAGGAACTCTGGCTCTTTCAGGCTGAGCAGTTGGTGAGGTAAGAGGTGGTGGCTGTGGCTTGCTCTGCTTCTCTGATCTTTCAGCTTTCACTGTGATGTCTGGCTCCAGGTTTTTATTAAGACCAATTAGGATTTGTGCAACAACTTTCTCCTTCTTTATAATCTGTCTTGAACTCTGCTTCCCTACTGCTCTGATCTAGATCTAAGAAACAACTCTTTCTTAGAGGTCCCATATTAATACCAGGATTAACTTGTTAATGATACTTGTACCATTTATCTAAGTATCTCATGGGGTTTAAAAGTGCTATGAACATACTTGGCACAAAATATATACTTGTTGAACAACTGTCCGGGCTGACTAGTATTTCATTGTGTGCATTTAATGTATTGTATCCATTTTATATATTTCCTATCTATGTCATCAATGGACATTTCAGGCTTCAATTTTCTTGACTATTATGAATAGTATTACTTTTGCTATGAGCATATAAATATTTATTTAAGACTTTTCTTTTTTTTTCTTTTTTGCTATACCTAAAAGTATGATTGTCAGATCACATGGCTAGGCTATTTTTAGAGCTTGCCATTTTCTGTTGATTGTACCAGTGTCAGCCCTCCAAACAGTTCACGAGTAGTCCAGTTCCTCTACCTCCTCACCAACCCTTGTAAATTCTGTGCATTGGTTTTCTGTTTTGTTTTGTTTTTTGGTTGTGTGCCGGTGACCATCTCAATGGGCCTGGGGGCTGAGGAGATTAACTTCCTGCTGTTTCACTTAACTTCCTTCTCATGACTGATGCCATGAAGCACATTTTGATGTGCCTTTCGGTCATTTGAATAACATAACTGGAAAAAAATGCCCCTTTCTCATACGCTTATTTTCAAATTCAAAGCTCAGGGGGCTGGAGAAATGGATCAGTGGCTAAAGATGCTTGCTATGAGAGCATGAGGAGTGGACTTGTGATCACCAGAAGCCTACATAAAGGTGGGTGAGCATTGCAGCACACCTGTAATTCCAGTCTCAAAGGGGTCACAACCCACAGGTTAACCACTGCTCTAGAGGATCTGGAAGACTGGAGAGTTTCGTGTCCTGGTATACATTAGGTAAGTTCAGTTTTAATTGACATATTATTTTCTCTCTAATAACACATGTGAAAAACATGGGGAGGCATGCTTTAGGAATAGAGTGCTTGACTAGTACCCCCAGATCCTGGGTTTCATCTCCAGCAGCATGGGAGGCAGGAAGCCTCAGGAAACCCACCTGTCACTTTGATGTCCCCTGTGGCTTTGGCAATGCTGTTCTCGATCATACAGGAGTATGTGTTGTTGATTGTGACATTGTAGAGCACAGATACAACCTTCATGGTCACATTCTCAGAGTTCAACTCAAAGCTGGTGTTGGAGACTTCTGAGAAGTTGGCTCCTTGGTCAATTTGAGATGCCCAGGCCACTGTGGGCTGGGGAAACCACCGAGGAGCCTCACAGCGCAAACTCTCTGAACTGGCATTATAGTCCACATTTATCTCTGGCACACTGAAGGCTGCAGGGTCAAAAGTCAAAAAGGACAAATGTCAAGGAAAGACAAACAGCCTTATAGTGCTAGGACTTAAAAACAATCAGCCACATGCTTTTAATCCCAGCACTTGGGAGGCAGAGGCAGGCAGATCTCTGTGAGTTTGAGGCCAGCCTGGTCTACAAAGTGAGTTCTAGGACAGTCAGAGCTGTTACACAGAGAAACCCTATCTTGAAAAAGCAAAAAACCAGCAAAACCAAAACCAAAACCAAAAAACCAACCACAATCATTTCTATCACTTACGTGACTGAGGGATTCCCCATGGTGATGTTTGTGTATGGTCCCTTCGGCCAGTACCACAAACTCCAGGGGCCCAAGTGTCGTGTACATCAGTGTTATAATAGATAATGTTCTCCATGTACAAGGGTCATCAAAAAAAAGAGAGAGATAAGAAAGAAAAAGTCTATTCCCTTAGGATAATAGGGCCAAACCTCAGAAGGCTTCTGGATTTCATGTTTTAAGACAAAGAAGGAAGAGGAAGAAGAAAGAAACAACATAACAGACTGTGGTGACAACATAACCTGTCACCACAGAAGTCTATGCACAGGCCTCATCGCCATGGGGATCTGGACTTTACTTGGGTAGAAACTATAGCTCTGATATCTGTAACAGATACCTATATCCATGATAGAGTGGCAGCTGTTGGTTTTATTCTAAGAAATGCTACTCATCAAAGTAACATCTGGAAATGAAGACATTCCTTCTCCTCCAACAAGACAGAGTGACACAATATGTTATGGTTGTGTTCCTTGGTGCTCTTGAGGGACTCCCCATAGTGGGAGCGGGGCTGTCTCTGACTCTGTTGCCTGCTTTCGGGACCTTTTCCTCCTACTAGGTCATCTTGTCCAGCTATGATGGGAGGGGTGCTGTGCCTAGTCTACAGTAACTTGTTATGTTTGGTTAATAATCCTGAGAGGCCTTCTCTTTTCTGAAGGGAAATGGAGGAAGAGTTGATCTTGGGGAGAGAGGAGGTGGTGGGGAGGGTCTGGGAGGAGAGGAGGGAGAGGAATAGATGTAATACATGAGAGAAGAACAAACAAACAAACAAATATATAAATATGTTAAGGGTCTAGGCTTATTATTATGACAAAATGGCAGTTCACAATACTTTTAAAAATTGTTGTAATGATGGTGACGATTTTGATTGTAAGGGTACATGGGCCACAGCACACCTGTGGCGCTTGGAGGATGGTTCTGTAGAGCTGGTTCTCCTCTCCAGTCTTTATATGATGTGGTCATTTGAATGAGGAGGGCTGCCGCCATCAGCTCATACTCCAGGTTGGTGGAACTGTTTTAGAAGGACTAGAAGGTGTGGCCTTGTCGGAGGAGGTGTGCCACTGGGGGTGGGCTTTGAGGTTTCACATGCTCACACCATTCCAACTTAGAGCTCTCTCTGCCTCGTGCTTGTGAATCAGATGTAAGCTCCCAGCTATGGGTCCAGTGCCATGTCTGCTGGCCTGCTGCCATGCTCCCTACTGTGATGATCATAGACTCGCCCTCTGAAACCGTAAGTCCCAAATAAACTCTTTCTCCTATAGTTGCTTTGGTCATGGTGTCTATTCAGAGAAATTGAACAGTAACCAAGACACAGGATCAAACACAGGCTTGAATATCAAGCACCTTTTCCTGCCGAGCCATCTGGCCCCCAGGTAGTCAGTCATTTATTAAGCCATTCAGCTGCTTCTTTGCTCAGGGCTAGGCTGGTGCTGAATGAGAAGGAAAGGAAACCTATCCCTCGCTGTTGTGCGTTTTTTTTGTTTGTTTCTGAGACAGTCTCATGTAGCCCACTCTGGCCTTGAACTCACCATAGAGCTGCCATAGCAAGGGGGATATGATGTACATGCTTGGAGCATGTTGGGGACACATTCATAGGAGGCAGTGTGGGAAACTAAGTCGTGAGAGTATACTTTGTGCTAGAAGTATATCCCAGGGAAACTAAGTCGTGAGAGTATTATGGTGATATTTTATTTGTATTAAAATGTTATTTGTATGTTAATAAATAAAGTTGCCCGGGGGTCAGAGCTCTTAGCAAGCCATAGGAAAGCAGGGCAGTGGTGGCGTATGCTTGTAATCCCAGCACTTGGTAGGCAGAGCTGGGTAAGTCTCTGTGTGTTCAGGGATACAGCCATTATTGGATACACATGCCTTTAATCTCAATACCAATCATGGAAAACCTGGAGGCCTATACAGACAAGCCGTGAGGAGGCGGTCATGTGGTTGGGTTTACAACCAATGAGAAGGCAGAACAGGAACTCTATATAAAGACTTTAACACAGGGGTAGCTCTGGTTCGGAGAGGTAGGACCACCGCAGGAGGAAGGGTAAGGTTTTAGCTCTTAGCTCTGACCTCTTGGCTTTTTTCTTTGCATTGGTTCTGTGTTTCTTATTTAATAAGAAGGTTGTTTACATCTACAGAGTATGCTTTGTGCTAGAAGTATGTCCCAGGGAAACTAAGTCATGAGAATATACTTTGTGCTAGAAGTATATCCCAGGGAAACTAAGTCGTGAGAATATACTTTGTGCTAGAAGTATATCCCAGGGAAACTAAGTCGTGAGAGTATACTTTGTGCTAGAAGTATATCCCAGGGAAACTAAGTCGTGAGAGTATACTTTGTGCTAGAAGTATATCCCAGGCATTACTTTATTTGATCATCAAAATAATCCTATGATTATCTGTTATTATACCTATGCTAAAACTTTTAAATTTTGGAATTATGTTACTAATTTCTTTCCCTCTTTCTTTTTTTGTTTTTCAAGACAGAGTTTCTCTGTGTAGCTCTGACTGTCCTGGAGCGCCCTATGTAGACCAGGCCAGCCTGAAACTCAAGATATTCACCCACCTCTGCCTCCTGAGTGCTTGGATTAAAGGCATGTGCTACTATTGCCTGTTTATAATTTCTTAAAAAAATGTATTTATTTTTATTTTATTGTATTTGAGTATTTGTCTGCTTGTGTGTATATGCAACATGTAAGAGGGCATCAGATCCCCTGAAGCTGGAATTACAGGTGGTTGTGAGCTGCCATGTGCATGTTGGGAACCAAGCCCATGTCCTCTGGAAGAATAGCCAGTGCTCTTAGCCACTGAGCCATCTTTCCAGGCTGTCCTAATTTACTAATTTTTTAAAGTTAGCTTATAAAAAGATTTCATTTTGTGAACAATTTTAGATTTACATAAAAGTTTCAAAGACAGTATGCGGTAAGAGAGAATTCCTGTAAATTTCTCACTCAATTTCCTCTAATGTAGACTCGTAAATAGACATTGTCCTGTCAAAATGGATAAACCAGCATTACTGTTAAACTCCAGGCTTTATTTGTATTTTACCCATTTCCATGAACACTGTTTTTGCTGCTGTTGTTCTAGAGTCTCATCTTGTACACCAGCATGTTTTTAATCATTGTGTCACCTCAAGTTCTTATGGACTGTGGCATTTTCTCAGTCTTCCCATACTTTTTATGGCTCTAACAGTTCTAAGTGCTGGTCAGGTATTGTGTAGGGCGCCTTTCTGTTGGGATATATGGGATGTTCTTCTCATGATTTGAGTTGGGTTGTGGGTTTTGGAGAGGAAGACCATTCTCCCATCAACATGGCATGCTAGAAGGCAGGAGCTCGCCACACCCAATTTCGGATGATGTGAGGGAACACGTGTTAGGTGCCTTTGGAAGTTGACTTCACTTCTCCAGCATACACTGCCTGAGCTGAGTGGGAAGGTTGTCAAATGACACCTCCACCTCCTGGAAGGGGAGAGGGAAGCAAGTTATTTGGAATTTCTGTCTGCACGGAATTTGTTTCATCTCCTCATTGTAAGTGTCTAAATGTGTGCTTTAAACCCCGACTCATAATTCAGTACTGTGCTTTCTTGTCTCACTGTTTTAGGGGTTTCACTGAAGTTCGTGCAGTTGGTCTTACTGTTGGTAGTGCTCACTAATCTCCCTCTTAAGATGAAGAAGCCGAGGTGCAGAGAGCTTGTGTTGTTAGGGTCTCTGTCCTCATCCAGGTCTGACTCGAGGGCTATGCTTTGTAGTGTTACATATACACAGGAGGTGTTCAAGAAAGGCCTACGGGAGCTGGAGAGATGGCTCAGTGGTTAAGAGCACTGGCTGTTCTTCCAGAGGACCAAGTTCAATTCCCAGCACCCACATGGCAGCTCACAACTGTCTGTAATTCCAGTTCCAGGGACCCGATACCCATAGCAAACACCAATGCACATGAAATAAAAATAAATAAATAAATTAAAGAAAACCCCTGCAGTATTGGCTTTGCTCCCTCTTTAAAAAGAAAGAAAGAGAGAAAGAAAGAAAGAAAGAGAGAGAGAGAGAGAGAGAGAGAGAGAGAGAGAGAGAGAGAGAGAAAGGAAGGAAGGAAGGAAGGAAGGAAGGAAGGAAGAAAGAAAGACAGGCCCACAAAGACTGGTTTAGACGAGGGAGCACAGGCCACTTTACGCCCCTCCTGCAAGGCCCCTTCCAGCTTCTCCCTGGGGGCTCCTTATCCCTTCCCTCATGTGCATCTGGGTGGCTCTCTCCCTTCCTCTGAACCCCTCAGTCACTCTCTTTCTACCTCTCTTAAGATGTTGTTTGTTATTCTTTATTGTTACCCCTGGGCAGACCTTCACTTCTGTAAGGTCTGTACTGGAAGCACCGTGAGAGGAGGGGCAATCGCTTTTGTTTATTAATCATCTTCCTGTTCCTCATTGCATTTATCTGACTCCTTTGTGTATAGCTTCGGAAAACATCCATTAGATAGTGTTGGCAAGGAAGTGTGAGTTTCACTGGGGCGGTGATACTGAGTCTGTATGACAGCATTGCTTTGGTTTGCTCCTTTTGGACCTCCCCTAAAATGGCTCACTGTCAGGAGTCTCTGGAGGGACTCATTTCAGGTGTGGGCTTGGGCCTAGTTAGTATAGAAATATCCCAGGACAGGTGGCAGCTTCTCTTAGTAGCAACGTCAGGGCCTGCCTTAAAGAGTCTCCATTTATTAGCTAGGAGTGGTGTTCCATGTCTTTAATCCCAGTAGCTGGGAGGCACAGGCAGGCAGATCTCTGTGAGTTCAAGGCTAACGTGGTCTACATAGTGAGTTGCAGGATCCCTAGGAATAAAGATGAGACCCTAGAGAGACAGAGAGAGTGTGTGTGTGTGGGGGGGGGGGGGGGAGAAAATATTTGGGAATACACTTAGAAATTCAAAGATGGTGCGAGACTAGAACACAATATTTTAAGTCCCAATATTATTATAGTAGGTCACTTTTGGAAGTTGATATGGTCTTGGGCATAACAACAAGATGACTGCTAACAGAACTGAGAGAGTTTTGGTCTGATATTGGTCATTTATGAACACACCATGATATTTCATCAGAAACTCATGCCCTTTATTCTCAGCTGTCTTTGGGTCCTCCCTTCCCCCGACCCTGCAGAAGCAACTCACCTCCAGTCTTATACTCGAGGTCTGCATTCCCCTTGCCTTTTGAGGTGCGGATGTAACACGTGTAGGTGCCAGCGTCTGTGAGTTGCACGTTTTTGAGTCTCAGGGAAGCATTGCCAACCACCACTTGGTCAGTGAACACTGCTGTCCGGCCTCTGAACATTGCGTGCTGCTGTGAGAAATCATCTTTGCCTTCTTTGAACTCATGAACCAAGCCCACGGTACCTTCTTTCAGCCACTGGATGACGATGCCGTTGAGCTTGATGTCAGGTTCGAAAGTGCAGCTCAGGATCCCATCCTCTCCAATGTTTCCAGCCGAAGTGGACGTCCTGACAGTGATGAAGTGTTTGCCTGCGGTTCAGGAAGGACCAATGCCAGTGAAGCTCTGGTACTTTGACAGCTAAGCTCTTCATTAATGCAAGCTGGACAGAGATGTCCAGATCAATTAGAAGTCGAGAAGGACACAAAAAACATTTTAGAAAGATGACTAGAAAGAGCAGGAAGCCATGTTGCTATCTACAGCAGATCTGCCGCACATCATAGCTTTTGTAAGAACAATCTACCCAAACCCAGAAAGGCAGCAAGAGGAAAACACATCGGAGTTGAGGGTTGGAACACGAGTATTCAAGTCCTGGCTTTGTTCTTTAACTGCCAGGTAACCTTAAATAAGTCACGTGACTTCTCTGACTCCCAGGAAAACAGAGGTAATGGCCTCTGAGGGGTTACTGAGAGGAACAAATCAAATGGTGTAAACTTGATTTGCAAACGGCAATGCCACAAGTAAGGTATTATTCTTAGCTAGCCAGAAGTGACGCAAAGCTAACCTTCCTGTTAATTAATATTAGTAATTCTGAAGAAAGTTAAATTCTAATGCACTAGGCCTTTATCTTCCTTGGAATGATGGAGAAACTCAGGCATGGGGAAGGGCAGTGATGGGGCAGAGTGTTATCTACATCGTAATGAAGAATGGTACTTAGTGATGCTTTGGTCCAAGATAGAAGCTCCCTCCTCACCTCTTCCATCCGACCTCCTGGAAGATCATTGACTATGGCAGCTTCTCTGTTCTATGGCCTCTCCTTCAGTTGTTATCCTACAGCCCACCCAGGCTGGGGGTTCTTTGTGTTTGAGGGCGCCCTAGGATGACTATTTTTAGAGGTTCCTGTGAAGGATGTGAAGCTAAGGTGATGGCCGTGGAGCCCAAGAGGATCACGGAGCAGATACAAGGAACTGTGGGGAAGAGACTGTGGAGAGTCTCATCCTAAGAGCTGAGTTGGCTGCTGAGGACAGTCAAGGCTGCAGGAGGTGCTGCCCAACCTCTGCATATTCTTCACACAAAAGCCTGGTTTAAGTGTTTAAGATGGTCCTCACAAGCCTTTCTGAAACACTCACAGACGTCACCGTGATGGGCCTTGGACACTTCTCACCAGTACGTTTCAGCTTTCTTATTTGTTTTCCCACCATGCCTGTCTGCCTCCACCCCACACATTTTCGATGCACTGATCTTGCAATAGCTTTTGTAAAGTACAATTCGAATGCACCTGCCACCTAGCCACTAATTCCCCATGGTTACTATGGGCTCTGGAATGAGCTGCAGATTTCCCAGCCCAGCCTTTGGTGCCAGGCACTGCCTGGCACACAGTGAATGCCTCTCGTTCCTGCCTGGCACTTTCCTCTCCCACTGTCTCCCTTCACTGTCTGTTTTGTCTGTGTCCAGTGGTTTGTTGATTTTCTTTCTTCAGTTTAAAGATTCATGAACAAATAGTACATGTTCCTTTTCAAACACAGAAGCAAACGTTCTGGCCATAAGGGTGTCCTTGGCACTTGGAGCTCATTAAGGCTTGGGATTGTCTAATTGACTCCAAGACCTTTGTAAAAGAGACGAGGGTAATGAATGGGAAATAGAGCCAAAGACACTAAGCTAGATGGATTTGCATAAAAAAGAACAGAAGGCTATGGATAGAAGAATAAGTATAGCTAGAAAAAAGAGGCCGAGGAAGCAGGAGTGCACGCATAGGCTGGGCTGGAAGATGTTTTTGAGGCTTGACAGCGTGGAAGAAAAGGGATTTGGGGAGCAGCTGCCCTGTGTGGCCTTTTGTGTGAGAGATTTGGAAAACTAGGAAAGATGGCCAAAGGAGCTTTGACTGTGTGATAACAAGCACCCCTGTTTTCCCACCTTGTATTTTCTTGAACACTGCTTTAAAGGTTCAGGCTTATTTTCAATTATCTTTGTTTATTTGAAGGTCCAGGTTTGCACGGGCTGCATGATTATGTCACACTCCGTGCCTTCCCAACCCTGCTCATCTTTCTCCTGTCCAGAGTTTCGGCTCCCCTGTACCCCGCTTACCTACATTCCACTCATATTCAAGTCTGTGAGGATGGTAGTCCTTCTGGGAAACCCTATTTAGCCTGTCAAAGTAGAACTGGTAGATACACCCCCGCCCCCCCATAACTCCTCATTCCCCTTACCATGGTAACTGCCTTCTTCTTCCTTGACTCACATCTGGACTTTACACTCGTCTGCAAGCTTTGTCCAAGCGGGGGATAGTTTCAGTCATAACTACAGGTCTCATAGTGTTTACTGCTCTGTCCTACAGAGAAATAATGTTCTACGAGTTCCTAAGTAAATGGGAATAAACACAAATCAAAGCACTGCTTATCTACCTATTGCAAGAGTAAAGAGCCAAGGTCACCCCATCTAATTTGGGAGGAATGTTAGCCTTAAAAAGATGGCAATAAAAATACATACAGATTCTCAATGAAACTGGGACTCAGTCAGAGCCAGAGTGAAGGTGACTGTACTTTATAAAGTGTCATTGAAGTTAATCTGGAAAATTACTTTTCAGAAAAAAAAACCCACATAATTAGTACAATTATGGAGGAAATGAAATGATAATGACATATCTCAGTTTGGTAATTGTGTTGTGGAATTCATTTTAATGTGTTGGCCTTGAGCCCGCAGGTAGAGAATCCACTGACACATCTTCTAGAGAATTTGGTGATTAAAAATAGGCAGCTTTAGCATGCCTGGGGACCTGCTGCAGCTTCAGGTCATTTGAGTTCTTATTCATGATGTGGCCAATGGGATGAACGTAACACTGATTGAATTCTCATCCATAGGAAATAAAGGCCAGTGAGAACTTTAAAAATCACAAAGAGGTAGGCTTACTTTGCATCCAGCCAGTAGTCAATAAATACTTGTTTGTTATATACATAAGTGAAGATTCAAGGTGATTAAATGGAACTTAATTTGCAAAAAACAGCATCTGTATTCAAATGTGCAAACACATCCTGGCTCAAAGAACATTACGTCCTGATCCTGGCCTGATGCAACTCTCTAGGCATTCTGACCACCAGAGGCTCCCGACCGAGCCTGGACGAGAGTTCTATGGAGGTGGGTTAGAAGCCGCTGTCTATGTATAGACAATTCTTGTGGCTGACACAGATTTAAATCATCTCATCGGCCTCTCAGGTTGCCCCAAACTCCTCAGAAATTTGGAGGCGGGCATTTACTGAAAATAAATGATTAGCTCATGAGGATATCCTAATTTGGTGTCTGTTGTTATAATAAAACATGTCCAGAAGCACCTTGGAGGAGGGAGAGGCCAATGGGCTTTCCTTCCACATCATATTCCATGGTTGAGGGAGGCCAGAGCAAGAGCCCAAGGCAGGAACTGAACCTGGAGGCAAGAACAGAAGCAGAGACCATAGAGTAATGCTGCTTCCTGGATCACTTGTTCTGCTTGCTCAGCTGCTTTTCCGATGTTTTCTAATATTTATTTTTAATGTATATGAGTGTTTGCCTGTGTATATGCATGTATACCATATGCATGCCTGGGGCCCCAGGAGGCCAGAAGAAGGCATCAGATCTGCTGGAGCTAGAGTTCCAGGTGGGTGTGATGCACTAAGTAGGTTCTGGCAACCAAAGTTGGGCCCTCTGCAAGAGAAGCAAGTGTTCTTAACTGCCGAGCCATATCCCCAGCCCCTTAGCTATCTTCATTATATAGCCCAGCCCAGGCCCTCCTGGCCCTGGATGGCACCACTCACAGTGGCCTAAGCCCTCTTAAATCAAGTAGCAATTAAGGAAAATGTCTCAGAGATACAGCCTCATGCCAATGTGACCTGGGCAATTCTTCAGTTGAAGTTCCCTCTTTCTAGGTGACTCTAGGGTTATGTCAAGTTGACAGCTAAAGCTATGACATAGGGCAGTTCCTACCATAGCTCTGGTCATGTGAGGAAAGCGGTGAGGGGCATCAGAGGTGAGCAAGCTGCTCACAGCTCAGTGTCGCAAATTTCATGCAGGGGAGTAACATTTAATTGGTTCTTCCTGTGGGAGCAGGGATATTTGGGATTGGGAGTCCAGGAAACATGAGGCAAGCATTTCATAGAAAGTGTGGTGGGGGTGGCACTGGATAAAACTTAGGAAATGAACTGTCCCTTGACACAATGCAGTCCAGGTTCTGTACATTCCAATGGCATAGAACACGCTAGACACCATTATCAGAGGGTCCTGTAGCATCCACTGGAGCGCAGCTGTGCAGAATGCACCATGGCACTTGTCTTAGTGATGGAAACACACAGCCTGTTTCCGGGTGGGATAATAACTATGGGTACCATGCTAGCCAGAGAGGAAAAGTGGATGTGTAGCAGTTGCTCATATGCGAAGAAGTTAGGAAAGATACTAGGTCAAGAGAAATAAAGGGAAGATGTAGGGAAGTGGCAGAATGTGGGTGTGTGGGAACATGGCGAAGATATCACACACACTGTCTGTCACTTCCTGGATATGTGACAACTGGGAAATATTTCCAAGATCTTTATTAGCGCTTTTATGTATAAAATGAGGATGCCCTTAAAAGGGCATGGGGCCCTTAAAAGGACTAAATGATACAATGCAATTAAAGTGCTTAATAGTGTACCTGACTTACTGTGCTAAACCTTAAATCATGGATATTGAAAACATTAACGCCAACAATTTGGAAAGACAGCAGATCAGGGCCTCAGGAGGTCAGAAGGGAACATCTTACTAAATGCTTTACCCTTAGTGGCTCATTTTAAGCCACAAGAGGTAAGAATGAGCATCAGATCCATTTTATGAATGAGTATAAAGAAGCTCTGAGGTTAGTGACTTGCTTAGTAGCCTGTGTCTAGCAAGTAGGTGGGGGGGGGGGGGGCAGGACTAAGCCAGTCCTGCCGGGTGCTTAGCCCAGGCTTCTTCTGGCATATTTTGCTGATAACTAAGGCCCGATTGAAATATGTCGAGAGCCAACCCATTATAAAGACATCACCACTTTAAGAATAAAAGCAGTGGGCCTGGGTGTAATTCCAGGACAGAGTGCTTGCCTGGCATGTGTCAGACCCCAGGCTTGATTCGCCCCAACAGCACAGTGCATAAATGTAAAAAAGTTAAAATAAAACAACTAAAAGTCACACGTATAAGAAGTGCAAAGAGATGTTTTTACAGATGACTGTAATGTTTGGAAATATCAAATGTTTTCCAAACAATTTGTATAATGTTTCTGGTAAGAACACAGAGACATATTCAGGATCCAAGGGTGGAACATTATTAGATGATGTCTTTTGGCTGTCTGTCTTGACTACCGTTGCTTCAAAAGAGGTCTTCCTTGGGGTGGCCAGGAAATTGTGTAGTTCCCAAGAGGTGCTAAATGAACTCATTGACAATAGGAAATGTGTATTAATAGTATTTGTGGCGTCAAACTGTGTCAGCCATTTATGCCACGCATGTGTGAGCAGTCTCTAGGTTCTCAAATGGATCTTGCATATTTTAACAGTAAGAAGACTGATTCTGATGAGTTACATTTCCTCCCAAAGGGCATGCAGTTGTTTAATTTGAGACCCGCCTGTCTCTGATCCTTAAACTCTTCCACTGTGTGGAACTGTTGGAGATGACCAGGGAGTGACTGTAGTACTGGGGAGTGGGCGCTGACTGTGGCCAGGGAACTTTCTACTACATCGCCTTTCTTCCTGAATATCCTCTAACTAGGGGCTGACGAGAGTCTCTCAGCCTCTCTTCCAAACAGTTCACCTTAAGCACAGCTTCTGTTGTATGGGGCCCACATTTAGAATGTTTATTTATTTATTTGCTTGTTTATTTTTGCAGTGTTGGGGTGGAACCCCGGATTTTGCACATTGGGTAAAGTGCTCTGCTGCTGAGATCCATCCTCAGCCTGTGGTTTGGTGTTTTTCCCTTTTATTTATGAGCATATATTAATTAGTGATACATGATAATGGGTTTCATTACGGTTTTCATAATTTTGGTCATATTCACCCCATTATCCCCTTCTTGTCCCTCTGCCACTCCTGTGGATCCCCTTCTTCTAAGACTCTTCCTACTTTGTCTTTTTTCCTTCTCTGTGACCAATAGGCTTAATTGGAGTTTCTTCTATGAGCATGGGTGAGGGATTAGCTACAGGAGCGTAAGTGACTCAGTAGTGGCCCCACCACTGAGGAAAGAGTCTCCCCTCCCTCAGCAATCATGAACTGTCACTGGCTCTTTGGGGGAGGGGTGGGCTCGTGAGTCTCTCATCCCTAGCAATTGTTATTGCACATAAATCCTCATGGAGGGGGAAGGGAAGGGAAGGGAAGGGAAGGGGAGGGGAGGGGAGGGGAGGGGAGGGAGGGGAGGGAGGGAGGGGAGGGGAGGGGAGGGGAGGGGAGGGGAGGGAAGGGGAGGGGAGGGAAGGGAAGGGGAGGGAAGGGAAGGGAAGGGAAGGGAAGGGGAAAGGGAAAGGGAAAGGGAAAGGGAAAGGGAAAGGGAAGGGAAGGGGAAGGGGAAGGGGAAGGGAAAGGGAAAGGGAAAGGGAAAGGGAAAGGGAAAGGGAAAGGGAAAGGGAAAGGGAAAGGGAAAGGGAAAGGGAAAGGGAAAGGGAAAGGGAAAGGGAAAGGGAAAGGGAAAGGGAAAGGGAAAGGGAAAGGGAAAGGGAAAAAGGGAAAGGGAAAGGGAAAGGGAAAGGGAAAGGGAAAGGGAAAGGGAAAGGGAAAGGGAAAGGGAAAGGGAAAGGGAAAGGGAAAGGGAAAGGGAAAGGGAAAGGGAAAGGGAAGGGAAGGGAAGGGAAGAAGGGAAGAAGGGAAGAAGGGAAGGGAAGGGAAGGGAAGGGAAGGGAAGGGAAGGGAAGAAGGAAAGGGAAGGGAAGGGAAGGGCACCTAAGATCTAGGGACAGGAAAAGAGATGAAATAACATCAATCAAAAGAAAGTAAAAAGGAAGACAGATGGTCCCCCACTTATGGTGACTCAGTTTGTGACTATTAGACCTTACAATGGTGCAAAACTGATATGCATTTAGCAGAAAGTACACTTCAAATTTTGACCTTTTATGTGTTCTTGTGCTGGTGATGTATGGTGGTGCTGGAACCAGTGGTGAGTGTAGCTCCCAGTTGGCTACATGATCATAGAGCCAATGGCCACACCCTGCACTGTGCTGTGTACTAAGTATGGTGCTTGAGAGGTTGGGTGTATTAAACATCCCAAAATTACAGTATTTCCAACGTACAATCAGTACATTGGAGTGTAGCCACATTATCAAGAACGATCTGTATTAGGATGAAACAGATTAGCAAGTTCAGAAATATATCAACACACACATGCATGGCTGGTTTATGATGATGGAGGCATTAGAGAGAAGAATGTGTTTTCAGTAAATGGTGCTGGGTCTACTGGACAACCACAATGAAATCTTGAATCTTGACCTGTATGCCATAGAAGCCACTCTAGCTGGTTTGTACACATACCCACATGAGGTGAACACTGAAGCTTCTAAAAACTTAGCTCTTCATGACCTCAAGGAAAGCAAACATTGTTTAAATTGATTAGATCAAGTTCCACATATGAAGGAAAAGATGGATGAATTTGTCTATGTTAAAATGAAGACCATCTGTTCATTGAAATATATGAAGGGAGTGAAAAGGCAAACCATAGATTAGGAGAGACCTGGTAACACACTTAGCCAGTTTGCAACCAGAATCTATAAAGAACTATAAGTCAAAAAGCAAAACAAGGGACTGGAGAGATGGCTCAGAGGCTAAGAGTGCATGCTGCTCTTTCAGAGAACCTGCGTTTGGCTCCCCAACTATGCTGGGCAGGTCACAACCGCCTGTAGCCCAGCTCTATGTGGTCTAATTCCCTCTGCTGGCCTCCTTGGGCACTGCACTCATGTGCATAAACCTGCTCTCAGACACATATCCACATAACTAAAAGTAAAACTAAAATCTTACCAAAAAAAAAACCAGAGAAACTCAATTTTAGAATAAGTAGAATATATATTCAATGATAAGGAAAGTGGACAAGGGTGCTGATGCCTTGTGTAAACAAATACACATATAGCAAATCTTTTTTAGTTCAGGCTTTGTGGCTGCTATTTAATAAGCAAAGCCATACACTAGAGGAGAGTGATGGAGGAAGGAGGCTGCTGCAGATATAAAGACTAAATCACCAAGTGACAGCTTGGCCACAGACCAGGTTAAAATAAGTATGTTGGCCCTAGCCAGGTGGTTTATGGGAAACAACCAACAACCCACCTCAGAGAAGACAGCTGCTGTCTTCTTCATCCGTCTTTCATCAGAATTAATAGCATCCATAGTAGATGCTCTAGAGAAGTGTCCTATCAAAAGAGGGACCAGGGGGCTCCCTGTGACTGACCTGAGCTAACGGCCTTTGAAGAGAGGCTAGTGTGGCATCTGCTTCCTACATGGTACAATAGTCATGGCCAGTTATACCTTTCCCTAAGGGCTCTGGTTAGAAAGGGCTAGATCCTAAGGAGATAAATGTCTCAGACAAAGAGGACAAGGCACATAGAGCAAGTGCTCTATGTTGAAGTTTTCATAGGAGAAGTCCTGTTCTTCCCGCATGTCACAGTGAGTGAGAAGATGTTTGACAGAGGTGGGCACAGCACGGACTATGATTGGAGAGCACATACCTGAAATACCAAAGCCAATGATGAGTACAATTGCTCCAGCCAGGATAATGATGATGTTAATAACACTATGGACAGAGATGGAGAAACAGGAAGTTATTTCTTTGTTCCATCTGACACACTGCCTTACAACCATCCTGTGTAAGACATGCCATGTAAGGCATCTCAAGTTTTTCTCCCACATAAGCCCTTCCTAGAAATAGGTATCTTAGAAGTCTCAGTGATCCCATCCCCATCCCACCAGAGTCCAGGGACAGGTGAAAAAACTTCCCTTTTATCTGATGGTGTCATCTCACGTTCCTCTTTCCAGATCAGAGAAGACCATAAACACTGTTGAAGTAAGAACAATGGTAATATCTCTCTGTATTGCCCAATGGCACTTGAGGAGAACTTGCGTCCTACTCAGACTTACCCTTAGCAACACTGCCCACCTCCTTGTATAATTTGTTTTCCTTTCTTGATTCTTTCTGTAGACCCTTGCCTCCACCTGGTCATGCCTTCTCCACTTTGTGTGCACTCATACCTGGTCTACCATGCCCTGTAGGTTCTCAGCGACTGTCTTCTGTCCCTTATTTTAAACAAATTGGTTGAGGATGTAGCAATAAAGCACATTTAGGTGCAAACCCAGGGTCCCTATAGCCCTTTAATTCCTGTTCCTACAGACTTATTCTTTATCCTACTGCAGCCCGCCTGCAGGATCCCCATTTTCCATCCACCTCTTGGTACAGACCCGGGTCCCCTTAGCTCTTTCCTATTAACCCAGTCATTCTTCCCTTCTAGGCCACCTCCATTCCTTTGCGTCAGCTGCTGACCTGCAGAAACACTTTCTACCAGAGAAACCACAAAGGTGGGGACTCCCATCCTTTCTGTCCCCCATTCCAACCTCTCTAGACTTGCTCTTAGCCTGCCGGAAGGAGCCCCTCTCCTCACCCCACCTCCACTCCCTAGGGACTCTGCCTCTTGGTGTGGACCCTCTGTCTCCCTAGCTATTTCCTTCTGGCCCCTTTTGCATTTCCTCTTAGACCACCTCCATTTCTTTGTGTTATTTGCCAATTGAAGGAAGCAATCTCTACCAGAGACTTCTCATCTACCATACTTTCCTAGGATCTAGAGTGGGTGAGAGGAACCAAAGAACAGAACTACCCACCCCAAAAAAGATCAGATATCTATACCCAAAAGCACCCCAGATATTATAACTACGGATGCCAGTGCAAAAACACAAACATGAACAGCCAAGACAATATGCCTCCTCTAAAAGCTGGTGAGACTATGTCAATAAGCCCTGAGAAATGCAGTTTAACTGAAGCACAAGACAAGGATTTCAAAATAGCAATTATGAATATGTTCAAAGAACTTCAAGAGGATATGAACTAATACCCTAATGAAGACTGTGAAAACACAAACAGTTAAATAATGAAAACATTTTAAGACTTCAAGACGTGAAAGTAGAAACAGAATCACTAAATAAAACCCAAGCTAAAATAAAATGGGAATGCAAATGAAAAGCTTAGGAGGTCAAACAAAAACCACAGAGGTAAGACTCCCTAGCAGATTACAAGACATGGGAGAGAGAGTTTCAGGTCTTGACAACAAGGTAGAAGAAATGGACTACTCAGTCAAAGAAAATGTTAACTCTAAAAATGTCTAGGCACAAAACATCGAGGAAATCTGGGAAATTATGAAAAGAGCAAACTGATGAATAGTAGGAATAGAAGGAAAGAAGGAAAAGAAGCCCACATTAAAGGCACAGAAAATATTTTTAACAAAACCATACAAGAAAATTTTCCCAATTTAAAGGCGATGCTTTTCAAGGTACAAGAAGCATACAGAATACCAAATAGACAAGACCAGAAAAGAAATTTCCTGTGAAACATAATAATCAAAACACTGAATGTACAGAACAAAGAAAGGATATTAAAAGCTGCCAAATGAAAAAAAAAAGACTGAGTTACATATAAAGGGAGGCCCATTAGATTAACACTGGACTTCTCAATGAAGACTCTGACAGCCAGAAAGACCTGGGCAAATGTTCTACAAACTGAGAGACCACAGATGCCAACCTAGATTACTATACCCAGCGAAACCATCAATTACAATAAGTGTGGAAAGAAAGACATTCCATGATAAAACCAAATTCAAGCAATATGTAACTATAAATCCAGCTCTATAGAAGACACTGGAAGGAAAACTTCACTCTGTAGAGGCTAAGTACACCCAAGAAAACACAAGGAATAAATACTCATAGAACAGTTCATCAAAAGAGGGGGGAGCTGGGCGGTGGTGGCGCATGCCTTTAATCCCAGCACTAGGGAGGAGGCAGAGCCAGGCGGATCTCTGTGAGTTTGAGGTCAGCCTGGTCTACAAAGCAAGTTCCAGGAAAGGCACAAAGCTACACAGAGAAACCCTGTCTCAAAACAACAACAACAACAACAAAAACAAAAAAAAAGAGGGGGAGGACCCACACCACAACAACAAAGTAACAGAAATCAATAAACACTGCTCATTGATAACTCTCAATATAAGTGGTCTCAATTCCCTAATAAAAAGACACAGACTAACATATTGGATTAGAAAATAGGATCCACCTTTCTGCTGCATTCAAGAAATACACCTTACCATCAAGGATAGACATCATCCCAGGGTAAAAGGATGGAAAAGGTATTCCAAGTAAATGGACCCAAGAAACAAGCAGAAAAGGTTATTTAATAGTTGATAAAATAGACTTCAAAACCAAAACAATCAGAAGAGACAGGAAAGACACTGCATATAAATTAAAGAAAAAAAATCAGGAGGATATTGCAATTCTAAACATTTATGCACCAAACACAAGGGCACTGTGGGGTTTGAATGAGAATGGTTCCCACAGGCTCATATATTTGAATGCTTAGTCACCAGGAAGTAGCACTTGAATTTAAATTTCTTCTCAGCAGGTCATGGAACTTTCTCCAAAATTGGCCACATGCTAGGACACAAAGTGAGTCTCAACATATATAAGAAAATTGAAATAACACACTGCATCCTATCTGATCACCATGGATAAAGCTAGCTATCAATAACAGAAACAACAGAAAATATATAAACTTATGAAAACTGAACAACTCACTAATAAATGAAAAATAGGTCAATGCAGAAATGAAGAAAATTAAAACCTTTTTAGGACTAAATGAAGAGGGAAAACACAACCTACCCAAACCTATGGGACACAATGAAAGTGTCTCTAAAAGGCCAGTTCATAGCACAAAGTGCCTGCATCAGAAAACTAGAGAGATCTCATAGTAACAACACAGTGACAGACACGAAAGAAGGCTCTAGAACAACGGGAAGAACTGACACCCAGAAAGAGTAGAGGGCAAGAAATGATCAAACTCCAAATTAATAAAAAAAAATAGAGATGAAAGGGGGGATTACAACCACCACAGAGACTGTTGCATCACACACAAGGTGGGCATAGGTTCAAGGCAGGTGGGGTCCCAGCCCTGAGAGTGGGAAGTGGACATGGGGCCCCACCCTGACCCAGAAGCTATCTACGATTGGCATCTGATGGCAAAGGGAACATCAGTTTGGCCAGCGGAGTCTCACTGGGCATATAAAACACACTTAAAGGCAGGCCCCAGACCCAGTAGTAGATGGCCAACACAAAACAAACTCTGGTGGTTTTGTGGACTTTTTGTTTCATTTTGCTTTATTTTGGCAGGTTTTGTTCTTCTTAGTCTTTTGCTTGTTCTGATTTGGAGGGTGGGGTGGTTTGGAAGAAGAGGCTGTGGGGTGTGCGTGTGTGTTTCTTGTTTTTGGTTTGTTTTTTAAGAGAGAGAGAGAGAGCGAACATAAAGTTGGGTGAGTGGAGAGGATCCGGGAGGAATTGGGGGAGGAGAAACATGATCAAAATACTGTGTATGAAAAAATGTTTTTCTTTCTTTTTTTTTAAATTAATTTATTTATTATGTATACAGTGTTCTGCCTACATGTATGCCTGCAGGCCAGAAGAGGGCACCAGATCTCATTATAGATGGCTGTGAGCCACCATGTGGTTGCTGGGAATTGAACTTAGAACCTCTGGAAGAGCAGCCAGTGCTCTTAACCTCTGAGCCATCTCTCCAGCCCATGTTTTTCAATAAAAAAACAAAACAAAACAAAACAAAAAAAACATGTTTAGCCTGCTCAGGGCCCTAGGTTCTATCCCAACACTAAACATTTTAAAAGTGATATATATTTTCTAAACAATTAAGTTTAGAAACTTAAATAATGAATCAAAAATAGGACAATAAAATCACCCACAATTCCATCATCCAGACTCGAACACTGTTTGATTTTGACATGTATCCTGACAGCTGCTAATTAACAGATTAACAAGTGACACTTGAGAGAGAAAGTAGCTAAACAGGAGAGTGTTGTTTACACTCACTGGTGCTTGAATTGTGTGATAGACGTGTTGTCCCCCACACACTTACAGCTCACATCATCGACCCATTCAATAACCTTATGAGGCAAACAAGTGTATCACCTCCACTTTATGAGTGACATGGAGATTAAGCAGCTTCCCTAAAGTCACTTAGCAAGTGGCAGAGCCAAGGTTAGAGTGTCTCTCAGATCTGCACTCAGCCACTCTGTCCTGTATTCCTCAGAGTGGAGGCTGGTGGGCTGGTGTGCGCAGTGGGCGGGGGGTGATGGGGGGTGTCCTTTCCTTCTGCTCAGGGGATCCTGTGTTCCAGGAGGGCACTGGGTTTCCCTGGCAAGAGTGACCAGGCAAAGAAGAAGATGCAGGTTCGAGGATGCATCGGCAAAGCCCTCTCCGAGAAGCTCCCCTTTTGTGGCCTGCCCTGCCACGTACATCATCAGGAGTGGGCTCCGCCACACTCAGCCACTGGCGGCTCACACGCTCCCGACACCCACACTGTGGTTACTCAACAGGCAGGACAAAGGAGGGACACAGAGAAGCAAAGAGTGACGTTATGGAGAGAGAAAGGAGGCGCACAGCATTGTACGTTCTGTCCTGAATGAGCTCCTTGTACCCACCTCCCTTCCAAGAGAGCTAACTTGCAAGGAAAACCTGGAGTCGACAGTTGCCTTG